TTCTTTCTTTTTTTCTTTTTTTTCTCTCTCCTAACCATCCCCCACTCCCTTACTGTGGTATCAAATTGATGAAATAAAAAAAAATATATGAGGTGGCATCTATGTGGCATAAAAGGGAGTGCAGTTTCAGTGGCACCACTCCCTCCAGCCTTAATGTCAATATATTACGAAAATCGTGCTAATAAACATCATAACTTTAATTCATTCCACTGCATATCTCAATAACGTTAACAAAAGTATAACAATATTTTGATATATCTCTATCGAAGATAACAAAAACTTACTAATCCAAAATACCAATCAACATTCTAATAAACATCCCAAAAAACTTAAAAATCCAAAATATGAATTAACATTCTAATTAATAATACTATCATTCTAAAATGTATTTGATCCAAACATCTCTATCTCCTTCTTCAATTTTCCTGAAGTTCTATATGTATATAAGATCACTTCTTATCCTTGTCAAAGCTTTGAATTTCTCAAGTTAACTTAATGAATTCATCTTTATAATCTTCGAATGGATCTATATGGTTTTTGAATATCATTAACAAGACGATTGCAACAATGTGCAAAACCACATTCCACCATGTCAAAATCAATGAAATTTGCCTTTGTCCACGATTGTATGTTGTTAAACTAAGTTGGGGCATTTTCTTATTCATACAAATTCATATGACATTGAAAGTATAAAAAATGTGAACTAGATGAACAAATATAGATGTTGTTAAAAAAAGATGAACAAACATAGAAACATCAAAGCATCAAATGATATAGAACACAAAGATAATCAATAGAGAGATAAGCATATTTTTTTATTTTCAAAGCCTCATATGAATCGCAGGAAGATACAGAGCATGAAGATAATCGAAACAAATTCAATTTTCAACAAGCAATTCTCACATTTTCAACTTTCAATCGATTCTTACGAAAGTTAATTCAAGAAAAACGAGTGATTAAGAGGATTAGAGAGAGAGAGAGTGTGTGTGTGTGTGTGTGTGTGTGTGACACAGAGCGAGAGTGAGAGCGACATACTCACCTGGCGGAAGAGATGGAGAAGATAAAGGTGTGAAGAGTATGGTGTCGGTTGCTACAACCAATAGTATAGACAAACCTAAGATAAAGTTTGGGTTTTAGATAGATATTGTCAAAAATAATTGTAATCTTTAATTTCCTTGATAGTATGAAATTAATTCAATTAAAGTGTTTTCTCCTATTTGATGAAAAGTTTTTTCATTAAGGATTCAAAATTCATCATAAAAAATTAAACTAAACACAAACACTAGAATGTGACATAATTAAATTCATTTTTAGCGAACCAAAGACACCCTAAGTAATTGTTATATAACTACCAAAATTTCATAATCAGCTTAACTGAATTTAATCAATTTATGAAACTATTTATCTGAACATAATGAACAATTATATTATTTTACCATATTATTTCAATTTTGCAAAACTATTATACTTTTTTCAAAAATTATTTCTAATATACAAATAAGTTTTACTTTATATATATATATATATATATATATATATATATATATATATATATATATTGTGACATCCTTTAATTTTCAGAACCAATTAAAATCTTTCCTTACGCTTTCAATTTCATTTTGTTATTATTGCAAAAAATATCAGTATATTTGAAACATTTTGAGTACAAGTTATTGTCTCAATTTAATGAACCCCTAAGGATGTCATAATCAATACAGATACATAAGTTTCAACGTAAAAACCTATTGGTCCTGAACCCTATTGCAGCCTGACTCTTATTCACTCAACATCCTAATCAAGTTCCAGTAGCTTAATCTTGATACATGTGATACATACAAACTAAATGGGTCAGGTTTAACGAAACTTAGTTAGGTACATAGGGATTTCAATCCCATAATATTTTTAAGATAATATTCCTTAATTATCATACCTACAAAACCAATTGTTACCAAACAATATAGATACAACTCAAACTTAAATATCAGTAAGATATTTTATACAAACATCCCATCCCCATCTCCGATCCAACCACCATTTTCATGGTTAGGAAAATAGTGGTCTCCTGGTAGGTGAGATCCTGTCATGTTGTCCGTGCGAGAATGGGGAGACGAGAATTACATGAAAACTTATGTATGGTTTTGCTATATATATATATATATATATATATATATATATATATATATATATATATATATATATATATATATATAGGGCTAGGTTATTTTGTTTCTTACATTTATTGTGTGCTAGAATGCACCAATAGGAATTTAGTAAATTAAATAATTAATTACTTAAATAAATATAGATATTAAATGATTTCCATAATTATATGAATATTAAATGATATCCATAATTATTTATCTTTATATGAAAACTAATTAAATCTGTCATTAATGTCAGCAATAACGTTATTTTAGAATGAATTCGCATCTAGGTTTTTATATATGAGTTCGTATTTTGTTTCAGGACTCACTCACTTAAAATACAATAAAGTTGCATAGAATATGAAGAACGAGAGTGTATTATACTAGAATACACTCTCATTTTTCTAGATATGAATTCATTCTCAAAAAATATAATTGTTGACATTAATGATAAATTTAATTAGTTTCCATAAAAATGAGTTATAAGTATGGATTGCATTTAATATACATATAATTAATACTAAATTTCTATTGGTGCATTCTAGCACACAATAGATGTGAGAAACATTTGAACCTAAGATTTTATATATATATATATATATATATATATATATATATATATATATATATATATATATATATATATATATATATATATATAGTAATGAGACCTTAACCAGTCTTCCTATAATTTCTTAGTGTATATCGGTTGTATGCAATCAAGATTCAATAGGCTGTTGAATTTAATGGGTCTGTCCTAAGCCCACAACCAAACAAGGAACAGGGCTTAAAGCGGACCCATCAATTCTAAGTCGGTTGAGTCCTAATTGTATATAGCCCTAGTGTATACACCTTTGAAATTATAGATCCACTAGTAAGGGTCCTAAATTTTATAGATCCACCAGTAAAGGTCCTAAATTTTTATATAAAGTATGGTTTAGACTAAACAGCTAAGGGTTTCCTTGAACAATGTATGCCATAAGGCACCCGAGCCTTTAGATCAATTTGATGAATAAGGTATTACCTTTCATCTACGTTTATAGGGTATGAGCCTAAAGTCGCAACGTAATTCACAAGACAATATAGAATGGTTAAGTGTTGTCATCTTACTTTGGGAGATGACCAGACATACCATTACAATTGTCTGATCTGGACCCACCATTTCTCTTCATTCAAAAGGAATACTAAGATGTCCTCCGGTATGGAGCTACCGTACATCGAGACCTATTAGTATCATAGGAAAGAGTTCTACTCTCCGTTTCTAACACACATAACCTTAACATGATGCTTTCCACTATTCAAACTTAATTGAACTAAGCATCCTTTATATGTCTTATTTCCCTAAAAGGCGAGACTATCAGGCTTACAAACTTTCCTTGAAATACCAACTCTATGTCACACCCTAAAACCAGAACGGCGGAAACGTTCGGGGGCGGATGACTTTTTGTATAGTATCATAACAACGAATATAATAGTGAAGAAAGCAAACACAACCATTCATCCGACAACGAATATAATAGTGAAGAAAGCAAATCACTCACATAAGTAGATCAATCAATAAAATGACTTGGAATCACTGATAAATCTTAATTACAGGTTCATAATAAAGACTATGACTATAAAAACAAGTTACACTTAAAACGGAGTAAGTGTAGTTCAACTTACAGAATATTATGATGACAACCGGGGATTATGCGGGCAGAATTCAGATCTAGGAGTTTCTATTCACCGCCTATCTGACACTGCAGGGCTTTGCCGAAGGGTTTGGAAACTCAGGAGAAAAGGAGACTAAGGGTTTCGAGAGATTTCTAGAGATATTTCAAGGGAGGTGAGTAGAAAATGAATGAAAGTTGAAACTATATGTAGGGGTGAAAAGTGACTGGGCATCACGCATCTGGTCGGAGTGTGCCACGCATGTGAAATATTCATCGCACCATGAAAATATGTTAGTTTTGAAAGAAAAAAAAACTACATTTTGTGATGCCAAAACACAACATTCTATACTATTTTACATGTGAGTATTAAAAATGAACAAGAACACGTTTGGCAAGTCTCAGGTCACCAAAAAACAATGTTTTAAAAATCAGTTTGAACCGGCAGGTTGTACCAAGAAATAAAAACAACGGTTCAATAACAACCAATTTTATGTTAATTTCTGGATTAGATCAAACCCGGGGGTTTGTTCAAAAAGCGGGTTGAACCAATGTAATATAACGGTAAAAAACCGTTTGAACCTGTTTATTGGACTTGTATAGTTGGAACGAAGCATATCACCATCGAATATAGAAATTTTTTTAGTTGAATCAAAGGTTGAAACTTTTTTGGTTGAATCAAAGGTTGAACTGCGAACCGGTTACTAGACCAGTTCAACTTAAAAACTAGTTTTAAAACATTGCCTAGAAATGTACCGGTACCTAAAAATGTATCCTCATTGGTCAAGCATATGTTTTTGCACCTTAAAAAATGTATCATACAAATACTAACGAGTGATATATATACACACCATGTGATGTTAATAAAATTATGAATGATATTTGCTTTACCAAATGTCGGATGCATACTACATATAGCAATTAGGAAAATCACCATCCTTTTTTTGGAATTAATATTGTCTATAATGAACAAAACCAACGATGGATACGAGTTTATTTTGGTTATGCTGGAGATATAAAATCACCAAAATATTATCGAACCTATCAAAATGGTCTATAAAGAGTTTGTAAGTGTTTTTTTTTTTTAATGACGTTTGACAACTCCATGACATCACAACATAGAATAACATCATAAGTTTGACAACTAATCATAAACTCAAAACATAGCGAAAACAACAAAACTGTTTGAAAATCAAACTATTTTGTACGTTTGTACATATACACACATTAAACATCATATAACAACACATAGTAAAACATTTCTTTATAACTCAGAAAACGCTATAAACTCATGTCAATATAACCATGAACAAGGTGATCTTTTTTAAAACAAGTCATCATATCACACAAACAATAAGAAAAATGTTTTACTTACAAGGTTGATACTTGATAATGAAGTAATTCTCCAGTTTGAATTTAAAGTTTTCTGAATGAATTTACAAAGTATAATTATATATATATGACAAATTGTGGAGAAAGACAATAATACCCATTCCAGGAATCACAAGATGTCAAGAAGATCATCAACCCCATTTCATTTCTTGCATTTTCAGTTGTCTGAAATCAAAGGAACCTGTTCATAAGAATCACAAGCATGAAGCTTGCTGCATATGTCTTCTTTCTCCAAAAACTGCTCTGCATTTGCAAGAATCAAAGGCGCATATTCGAATACCAATGATTTACACTGAAAAAAAAAACACAACATTTCATCAAATTAAGTTATAAATCATCCAATTGTTTATAAAAAAGAATACAAAAATGAGCCATTAAAGTGTTTCTTTGGGAAAAATTATGGAAATTTGCAAAAGAAAACGGATCACAATGTTTCAACAAGTCGAGTATTCTTTTAAAAAAAAGACTAAAAGAATAAAAAGTTTTATATAAATTGGAAATTTATCAAACCTTTGGTAAGTACTTCTCCACAGATTTGCATTGTTTCAAGAGCAATTCCAAGATTTCCAACTGAAAAATAACCAAAAAAAAAAAATAATGAATGATTTCATTGCAAGTTTTTCCAAACATGGTAAAAATCTTTCAAGATGAATTATTTTTAAAAGTTGGATGGTTTTAATAAAGATTTTTATAAGTAAAATGCCGAAATTAGAAGATCAATACCTGATTATCTGGATCTTTTAACAAAGAAACAGCTTCTGAAACAGCTAAATGACAAACATCACAACTATTTTCTGAGAATTCATGAGCATAAGCAACAAATTCTTTGCAAAGTCCAACTCTTCCACAAAAGTCTTCAGGTTTAACAGTTGAGATTTCAAGGAAAAATAGAGGAGCATAGTAATCTACTAAAGTGATACACTGCAATAAGAAACAAATCAAATGAGAAGGGCATTTTTCGTCTTTTGCACATGCGAGAGAACAAGAGCAAGTTCCTATCCCTTTTCCTATTTGCCCTTCTTTTTTCCTCTCGTGTTGAAATTAATGAATATTGTGAAATTTGTTGTTGGAAAGGGTAAAACGGTCAAATAGTTAAAAAGCAAACCTGTTTCTTTAATGACTGTAATTTATCGCAAGATTCGTGAAGAATGGAGATGATTTCTGTTTGGGTTTTGTTTTGTTCAAGGTAAAAGAGAGCTTCAGAAGCGTATTCTTCACACAAAGTACACAAATTGTCATTTTTGCCCTCGTTTCCCAAAACTCCAAATCTCTTTGCAGCCTTTGATTGCAAAACTACAAGGATAAATAACGTGTTATTTCAAAAACCTTATAAAAGACTCGATTTCATAAAATTAAAGTATGGATGTTTAATTTGGCTTATTGTAGAAAGCATAACTTAATACAGAAAATCAGGAAATTATAAATAAATAAAATGATTAAAGGAAATACCTGAAATTGCAGAAACCTTGTTTCTAAAGGTAGAAGTCAACTCTCTAGCATCACATACCAAGCCAACAGCTAGCAAAAAAACAAAGACTAGACCAAGTTTTCCACCCATTCTGTATGAAGGGTAAAATGGTCATTTACTCTCTTGTTCAGATTGTTCATTTTAGTCTAGAAAGAAACAATATTCGTTCATACAACACTTCTGCCATACAAACATCATTTATCTATAACAAAATAAAACAAAAATATTATACGACCCTTGGTTTAAAAAGGTCATATTTGACTTTTGAACAACAAAGTAGTTGCTTTTTTTTATAATAGGCGTAAAAGGTTTATACATCATTTTTACACCAAATAATTAACGTTCTTATTTAAAAATAAAGTGTTCTAGTTTCATGAGGTTCATGGAGTATTGAAATTTGATAATGATTTTTTGAGTTTAAACCAAAAGATTGTTGATATCACGTTAAATTATCAAATATAATCACAATTGAAAAACTAAAATATATGTGTGAATTTTGAGTTCGAAAGGAGCTACGATAGAATTTCATACAATCAACCACAAATACTTAAAATTGGAAGTCAAGAAATTTTAAAATTTACAATCGATCGGCTAAATACTTAAAATTGCGAAGTCAAACCACACGTAGAATACAAGAACCCTAGAACCCTAGCTTTAGTTCTTGATCTGTTTTTTTCTTGAAGACCAAAACTTTGATCGTAATTCATAAGAATAATAAGAGCCAATAAATCATAGATCATAGTATGAATAAGAACCCATGAATCTTAAGCGAAAAAACCAGCTACAGATACAAAAAACAGCCCTAATTTCTATCGAAATTCATCGTCAAAAATCAAAATTAACATGTATTACAAGAAAAAGGCTATACCTTGAGTAAGAAACAGAGATAAAGAGTCGAAAGTCGAGTGGGAGAGAGATGATATATTGGTTAACCAAGTTTTTGGCTTTGAAGTAACGTGATAATTCGATAGATCATCAAAGGGATTGTCGCTCACATATAGAAGGAAAGTCTCCCCCCACCAATTGTTGTCTCAAATGTGCTGATTTTGGTCCTTTATCTTTCACTATTTACAAATTGCATCTTTTATGTTAAGAAAACTACCATTTTGACCCTTGATTTCTACTTCCACTAATATTTCATAGGACCTAACTAATTAACTATTATCCAACCCTTCAAAACAATTAAATCTAACAATAACCTAAGAAAATTATAAAAAGCTAAATCATTAATTTTATTTGGTTAGCTGCTGACAATAAAAATAATTGTTTTATCTTTATAGATCTTTCATTTTTATATTTTGATACCTTTTTATTTACTTCTTTTTACTATAGCTGTGCATGGGTCGGTTTTGGACCCAAACCCAACCCAACCCATAAATGGTTGGTTTTTGGTTTTCAGAACCCAATATGATCGGTTTCTGATCGGTTCGGTTTTTTGGGTTCTGAGATCGGTTTGGATGGTTTTTCGGTTTCTTGGGTTCAACCCATATACTCATGGTTTCTGGCTTTAAACCCATGGGTTTTTGGTTCAAATCCATTTTCCAAAAATAAAGCAAGAAGTCAAATACTTCAAAAAAAACACTAAATTGAAGTTAAATACTTTAATAAACATGAGTCTATTATAAGTTACAATCAAAGCCCCAAATAGTCTATTACAACAAAAACACAATCAAGTATGGGTCGGTTTCTTGGGTTTGATGGATCGGTTTCTTGGGGCGGTTTGTCGGTTTTAAGTATGGGTCGGTTTCTTGGGTTGGATGGGTCGGTTTCTAGGTAAAAACTGAAACCGAACCCGACTTTTCAAATTTTAGAAAATTCAAACCCTAATCGTCAGTTTTGCTTCGGTTTCGGTTTTTTCGGTTTCGGTTTCGTCGGTTTTCGGTTTCTTGGTTTGGATTTGCTCACCCCTACTTTTTACAGTAAAAACCAGTATTGTAAAAATCATGATTATCCTTAGGGGTTACTCGACCGACTAGATAACGCCTAGCAATTAATCTTTGCATATACAATGATTGAAATTTTAATACTTCAAAATTTTTTATCTTAATAGAAACCATTTGATCAATGATTAGTGTTGTAATGATCATATTAACTTCTTTTGTTATGATATTAATTATATTTACAAACTTTATTTTGATATTAATTAAAATTAATCTTTTAAAATTCAACAAATTGACAATTAATGGTCTCTGATTAATCTGTGCATAGCTGATTAATCTCTTAATATCAATCTACCGACTAACTAATATTGAACGTTTTTTACAACCTTGGTAAAAACTCGTGTTTACATTAAAACACTAAAAAATTCAGTTCATGTCACCTTTTGAATGATTATGGATATGTTGGTCATTATTTGTCACAAAAAGGCAATAAATTTATGAAAATGGATAAAACGAAATTCCAATAGAAGAATAAGGGCCAAAATAGAACTTCTGGACCATAAAGGATGGACGGGATAATTAAGGAAGATTCGTGTGATTAACAAATACGAAATATCAGAAGCAACAAATGGATAAATACAAGAATTAGAATATTATCCAATTATTATTGATATTTGAAAATATCCTTTATTTTTTTTTTTCATATAAATTCTTACCCAATTAAGGGGATGTTTGATAGGATCTGAATTATTAAGATCTGAATTTTTAAGAGACCTGAATTTTTAAGAGGGTCTGAATTTTTAGGATCTGAATTTTTAACATGTTGTTTGGTTGGAACTTCTGAATTTTTGTGCTAAACTATAAAATGATCATTTTACCCTTCTATATTAATTTTTGTTGAATTCAATATTCTGTTTTATAAATAAATAACCAAATCAACTTCTTAAATAATTATAAAAATAAATATAAACACCATATAAAATCCAAATTAAACATAAATAAAAAATTAACACAAATCCAAATCAAACATAAATATTTTTAAATTGAAAAAAATCATAATAAATCCAAATAAAATCTTACAAATTTAATTTTAAGCATCTTAAAATATTTGTAGCATTGAATTCAATCTAAAATCAAAATGGAATCTTGCAAATGGTCAACAACAATCCTTGAAGGAATTTATAACCTTCTGCTATAATAATTGGATGAATACCATGTTCTAATAGCCCTCATCTTGTTCTATAATAATTGGATGAATACCATGTTCTAATAGCCCTCATCTTGTTCTAGAAGTGCACCAGCCATAACAATAACTCTTGTTCAACCATCAACTTACGAATTTGATTGTCAACACCCATTTGATCCAAGATTGTTGCATTATTGATAATCTATGTTGAAAACCTCAATCCAGTTTTATTATAGCCATGTTACATAACATAGAATAGAAGACCAATCAATGAAACCCTAATAAACAATTACAAGTAAAAGAATTCATGAAAAATACTTGTTAAAAAAATCACTCCACCCTCTAAACCTTAGGATCTTTAAATTACCACATATCTCTATATTCTTCTCCCCTGCAAATATAATTGTAGCTACATATTACATCTCAATTTCATGAATTGAACAAATAAACAAACAATTTCATCATATGTGGAAGAGATAAACAAACAATTTCAGCAAACAAACAATTTAGTAGCAAACGAACGTTTTCAGCAGAAAATAATAAGAAAATCAACCATTTCATCATGATTTCACGCCATATTTTCCTCAATTTCTTCATCAGCAAAAAGGCACAAGGAACCAGGAGCTATGATTTACGATGATGGGCACCAGAGATGTGTTGAGAGATCTGTTGTGTGATGGAAATCGATTTCAAATCCGGAGAAGAAAAGCTTACCAGGCGTTGGAGTGGCGGCCCTGGCAGAGGAAAGCAAGTGGTCGGGGTGGGGTTCGATGAGTAACAGAAGAAAAAGCACGTACCTTGATCGAAGACGGCAACGAGGAAGGAACAGGCGGAGGCGGAGGCGGAGGCGGCGAGGGCGGGGGCGGTCGGAGTGCGAGGGGAAGAAGGAGGCGGCGACGGCGGTCGGAGTACGAAGGGAAGAAGGAGGCAACGATCTGCGCGGAGAGGGGGGAGGATAATGAAGTGGTTATGGCTTCCAGAAAAATAGGATACGTACGTTGAGAACAAGAGGAGGCATGCTTTATCAAGGGGCATACAAGTCTTTCTTTCTTTTTCAGATACGGGTAGAAATCTGAATTTTTAAGAGGTAATTTTTCAATTAAGAGGTTTTTTATAAGAGGCTACCAAACATGCTATATCTGAATTTTTAAGAGGTAGCCTCTTAATTTTTCAATTAAGAGGTAAACAAACAACCCCATGATGACATGTATTATATTATTAAACTAAGGAGAAATTAAAGTGATTCATATCTTTTATGCATACAAATATTCCTACCTACTAACATTATTACAAACGACAACATTCTATATTTTTTTAACTATCCCATTAAGAGTTTATTAAGAATATATCAAATCAAATTAATTTGAATGGATGAATAATGACACGTGTCATCATAGTAGTGGGTAGAAATATTTGTTGACATAAAAAATAAGAGACAATTTAATTTTTCGTATACTAAAATAAGATATCATTAAATGAATATTAAATGTTACACGTGTCACTATTTAATTTGGTAGAAAAATTTATCGTAACAAAAAATAGGAAAATATTTAATTTCTCTTTGATCAAATTAGTAGCTACCTTACTAACATTATATATGTAATATGCAACGTGCATAGACACTGTCTACAACTAACTCCGTAAATCTTGAAACTATATTTTACCAAGTTAGGCTTACAAAAATAACAAAAGTGTTTAGCCCTATATTTTATAGGCAAAAAGTAGGGGCATTTAGATATTGGATTTTGATTTAAGAATGCATATTCAAAATGGTTACGTGTATCAGATACCAAAATTTCAACCTACAAATGGATCTTCTTTTATTTTTACATAACCAAATTGCATATTTATTTTTCGGGTAGGAGTTTGTGAGAGATTTTAGTTTTTAGGTTTTAAGAAAAATCCTAAATTTGAGAAGGTTGCATTATTAAAAGTCATTTTATGTAGCTTTTAAGATATTTTAGTTTTTAACTTCTATATTTTATGTTATTTTATATATTTTAAATTTTATAATAACTTTTGTCATAATTTTTATACAAATAAAGACTATAACTTTTAACCACCAGCTACGGATTAGTTTTATAAAATATACCCTTTATGGTTGATATCTTACTTAAAAAATCAACTAAGGCTATATATTTATTGATAACTAAAACGTATTTAAACCAAACCAAATTATTTATTGTATACTTGTAGCTTATGAAGAAAAAATAATCATTAAGTCTACCGCCATAAACTTCAAAATCAGAAATTACAAAATAAAAACTTATACAATTTGGATATTTGATATTTGATCTGTCAAAGTTTTGAAGTTTACGATCCAAAATTTTTTAAGAATTGTGAATTGAACTTTAAGTTTTTCCGATCAAATCCTTTGAGTAAGATAATCTTAAGTGTTGTGGTTTTCATTTATTTATATTATTATTCGCCTTTTAAATATATATATATATATATATATATATATATATATATATATATATATATATATATATATATATATAAATCTTTAACCATTCACCCAAATCGTTGCTAAATCAGCTATCATTTTTAATACCAATTTCCAATTGTAAACCGGTTTTTATGCTCATGTCTGCTGTATCAATTTCCTATGTATTTGTTTAACAAATTAGGTGGGTGTTTGGCAAAGCTTTTAGAAATAGCTTATTAGCTTTTTAGCTTTTTAAAAAGCTAATAAGTTAAAAAAAAAATATGTTTGTATGATTAAAAAAGCGTTTTTTAAAACAGTTTTTTGGATTAAAAAAAATAAATCTTTCAAAAAGCTGAAAAATTCTAGTTTTTTAGTTTTTTAACCATTTTACTCTTAAAAAGCAGTTATTTTTATCTAAATACTTTTTAAAAACAGTTTTTCCTAAAAATCATAAGCTAATAAGCATTTTTTTTAACAATTACTTTTACCATAAAAAAAACTAACCCAAACACACCCTCCTAGGTTAATTATTTTTATCCAAACACTTTTTAAAAACAGTTTTTCCTAAAAATCATAAGCTAATAAGTATTTTTTTTTTTTAAAATTACTTTTACCATAAAAATTAAAATTAAAAAATAAATAAATAAATAAATAAACTAACCCAAACACATCCTCTGGGTTAAGTATAGGACTACGGACCAAGATATTGGGCTAGTAAAGGTATGTTGGGCTACTAATAACACCTTGGGTTAAGTATAAGACTACGGACCAAGATATTGGGCTACTAATGAAATCATAAAGAAATAAATAAGTATTTAATGGTAGTAGGCGGCCCGCCTTCAAAAAATAAATTGCAATAGGGGCTATAAGACTATTGAGTTGCCTTGACATTAACATGATCACTACTTTTTTAAATATAAAATCAGATTTTATTTATTAATATTTTCGTTACTAACTGACATGTAATCGTTTATTGTGTTTGGTTGGCTATATATATTAAAAATAAATAAATAGAAAAAAAAATTAGATGTTTTTTTTTATTTACGTTTTTAATGTATAAAAAAACTAAATGGTTCAATATAGTTGTTTTTTATTTAATACTAATAATGATAGGTTAAGTTAGGAATCAGATATCATTATATAATTATATAATTATATTAAAAGAGAGTTTTCAATTGAATAGTTCTTTGTTGTGATTGGCAGGTTTTTTTTTCTTTTCTGGTTAGGTGGTTTTTTTTTTCTTTTTGATAGTGGATTACACGTGCAATTTCTTCCAGGTTATTTCTTTGTTTGCTGGCACATTATGTGTTACCACTCAAGAACCCACCGCCCATTGACCCTCCCTTCTCCATAGACTCTGTTTTCTAATGGCACCGATTGTTTACGCCAATAGGGATTGGATTGGTGGCCACCGCTACATCTTTCTCTCATTCTTTTTTGATTCAAAATCCCTAATACGGTAATACCACTCCGCCTCTCCATTTCTTCACCTCACCGTCAATCCACACTCGGTCTCCTCCCTCTTTAGCTGAAGAACCGCAGAACCAACCACAATGTTCGTTGTCTCCATTCGATTAACGCTTGGAGCTACCCTTCAATCGAACATTTATATAAGGCCGACGCCTACTGCCATACCCATTCCAGGTTCTTTTTTTTTCGTCTGTCGCCAAAGACGGTGGGATTTAGGGCTTTTGAAGCAAACCCTAAGTTCGCTATACTGATCCGCGAGTGCACCAGCTCCGAGCGTCAGCTGTAGGCAAGATACGGTAAGAGAATCCCTACTTCAATAACTTATATATTTGGCTATTAAATTTTTACTAAAACGCCTTTTTGATATACCTGCTTTCTACTTCAATTCGAGGGTCTATATATGTCTCGATAGTGGTGTTGATATTGGACTCCATTTTTCATATTAGTTTTTACCAGCTAATTAATCAGGTCCTTGATTATGTTATCCTTTTCATATCCAAAACTAATGCATTTTCTTGGGTTGTATAATGTTTTAGGACCTCGTCGCATGTTTCATGTGTAGTCTCAAGTGCCACTTCAGCAACAACAGTTGTTGTACAATGGAAAAGAGATGGGGAATTATGAGACACTGAGTCGTTTGGGTGTTACAGATGGTGATTTAATGATGATGGTTTTCAGTCCTTCTTCTTCTTCTGCAAGGTATGCTTTTAATTTGACTTGGTTTAGACATCCAGTGATGATGGTTTCTCATGGATATATCATCAACTTTATGGGTTCTAGCAATGAAGTTAAGTTATATCCCGATGGACCTACTGCAGAAGAGGGTAGGATTTAGGGCTTTTGAAGAGAAACCCTCTGATGCACCACAAAGAAAGATTCGGAGAATTTGAATTGGCATTTTTTGTTTTGTGTTTATTAGATGGGTTGTTTTTTGTTTTGTTTTACTGTAGGTTAAAGATGATGATTAAAGTGGTCAATTGAAGAAACAGGCACGCTATTGGTCAATTTATATGTCAATATGAATTTGTTTGTAACAGCCCAAAATCTCAAGTTTTGTTAAATTGCATTTTGGGGTGTTTTAAAGGAGAGACTCGGCGAGTTAGAGCCAGACTCGCCGAGTAGGGTCGCAGACTTGGTCGCGGGTTCGCGACTGGACTCGACGAGTCCAGATATGGACTCGGCGAGTCGACGCTGTTCAGCAGAAACCCTAGCCGTTCAGTTTTGGGTCGTATATAAGGGATCTTATGCCGTCATTGCTCGTCTTTTGGTCGATTGAGAAGAACCCTAAGCGGCTGTGGCATCTAGAGCAAGCTTGAAGGCCATTGGTGACCTTGAAGGAATTGTTGTGCAAGGAGGAGAAGGGTTTTGGCTAAAGGAACTGCAAGGAATTCGAGTTCTGAAGTTTGGGGACACAGAAGGTACATCATTCAGGTAATAGCTCGGATTACATTCTTCTGTGATTGATGTGTATATGGATTTAGGGTTTATGGAACCCATTTGATGATTAGACGGATTATTACCTTGTTACCCAAACGAATATAACCCTGTATTAGGACCCTTAGAGGTCCAGAAGATCCCAGGTCTGTGCATTTCGGGAATTGGTGACGGTTTTGGATTGAAATCCTTATGCTTTAGGTTAGCATGGGAAAGATGAGTCTTGGGGTGTAGCATGAGCACCTAAACGAAGGCCTTTTGTGATGGACCAGCTTAGGAGGACCAGACCTATGATTGGTCGGGACGATTCTGATCTTAGGAAGCAGTTTGATCGACTGCATGGCATGGACTCGCCGAGTCGGATGAGCAGACTCGGCGAGTAGCTTGAAGAATAGCTGGGACTCGCCGAGTTGTTCTTCATACTCGGCGAGTGGAGTCGGGGTGGCCCCGCGATTCTTCCACGAGGAACTCGTCGAGTCAAGAGAGATACTCGACGAGTAGAAAGGGAACATCCAGGAATTTGTGAGGACGACTAGACTCGCCGAGTCGCCAGGGCACTCGCCGAGTCCAGTCGAGATGACCGTTGACCAGAGTTGACCTGTGTGTGTGATTTCTTAGGGTCAGTTAACGTGGAAGATAAAAGTATTAATAAGAGATATATTGTTATAGGGAGCTTGTAGCTCGGCGGATCAGGTGCAAGTGA